CCAAGTTTTGACATTAGAAATAACGCACATAACATTCATATGAGAATCCTAAGGGCAAAGGCCGTGACTTCTATACATTTATAATAGAGTCCACAGGGCTGGGCATAGAGTATAAACCTAAGAAATACTTGAAGAATGAATTACATTTCCATAGGCAATTCTATTTTCCCACTGTTCAGAAGCACAGTTTAAAATGCCGGTGTGGCAGAAAGCTTTGACACTGAAAGAGTTGTAGTAATGACTATGGCCCCCTCCCATCTATAAGTACTCTTCTACTTTTGTGTGGATATTTACAATGTTAATTGATAGAACTAAGCTTTATGATATGATTAGATGCTACCAAATGGCATTCCTTGACCCAGCAACTATGTCATAATTGTGTTGTGCTCCTTAGCTCCTAAATAGATTGTACCTATTGAACCAAAGAACGCCCCAAATGAATAGTCTACCTTAGAAATTCTTTCAGTTCAAGGCTTATAGTGCCTCGTTCTACCAAACATGATCTTAAAATCTGCAAAGTTCATTTATAAGAAATGTCTATATTAAAATATTTCTGGGAATAGAAATTCTTAGGTGCTAAAAAATCACAGTAACTGTTGAAGTCTTAACATAAAATGGGATCTTGAAACTCAAAACCTTAAATTTTAGTTGAGTACACTCAAGCTATCTTTATTAAATGATTACAATTTGAGGTTTATGTGGCAGAAGACATTAGCACCAGACTACATCATCTTGATGAAGACCCTACCTCAGACAAAATGTCTGAAAACAAATATGTAAGTAACCTTGAACATTCATTGTTCACAAAAACTTATATAGAAGGTGATTTTGTTTTATTTCTTGCTGCAACAATATTCTCAATCAAGAAAATATCAGCCAATAGCTCTCTTGTACATGGAACACATTCACTTTCAACTCAATGAGTAGGCCAAAGCAATGTTCTCCAACTACCTCCAAAGTGCAAAATAAATAAAAATGTTTAAAAAATTTAAAAATAGAGATTATAGATATGTAAGTTTTAGCTCCTGCTGAGAGCAAAGGGATGGGAAAGGTAGCATCTTGTGAATACATGGAGGGGTTCTCTGACCACAGACTGATCATCACACATATTGTGCCCATATGAAGAGTTGGGTGGCTTAAGGAAACCCTAACAATTTACGATTAAAAATAAGGCTGATATGGGGCTGGCCCAGTGGCGTAGCCATTAAGTTCACAAGCTCTGCTTCGGCAGCCCAGGGTTCAAGGGTTCAGATCCTGGGCACGGGCCTACTCACTGCTCATCAAGCCATGGTGAGGCGGCATCCCACATAGAGCAACTAGAAGGATGTACAACTATGACATATAACTATCTATTGGGGCTTTGGGGGGAAAAAAGGAGGAAGATTGGCAACAGATATTAGCTCAAGGCCAATCTTCAAAAAAAAAATAAGGCTGATAGATTTGCCAACCTGCTTCTGAGACTTTAATGTCTAATAGCTGACAAGTGGTAACATAGCTATTCTTTGTAGATTTGCATGATCGGAATTTCATTTCTGTAGCTCAGAAGATTCAAAATTCACATTTCTGTACAAAGTAGAAATTTGTAGATTGTACTACGTATACATAAACTTTTATACTAAATCAATTTTACAGTATAGGATAGATGCCAAAACCATTTTAACCTCAAATTAATTTTCCTGTCCATACATACATATTTCTATTTCTTCTTAAGTAAATACAAATGAGAGGAAAAAGTAGTATTCTTGAGAGAAAACAGCATGTCAGAAAGTGCCAGCTTTTAGCCTTTGCGTTTTTAACCAAATTACAAGTATTATTTACTTAAGAAGGTATACACGAAGGTATACTGTAAGGCACTTTTCACTGAAATAACTTCAGCTCTGAAACATAATAAGATACCAAAATTTTTAAAAAGCCCCAAATGTATAATAAAATACCAAACTTTAAAATATCACTTTTAAAGTTTCCCTTTAATTTTCTGATGAAACATTTAAGATGTACTATTACGGGAAGGTAAATATTGAAAATTAAATATCTGAATTCAAAACTACAGATTTTAATTGTTTTTTTACTCAAATCTTTTAAAGATTTTATTTATTCAGTTTTTTTCCCCCCAAAGCCCCAGCAGACAGTTGTATGTCATAGGTTCACATCCTTCTAGTTGCTGTACGTGGGACTCCGCCTCACGTTGGACGGAGAAGTGGTGCCTCGGGGCGCTCCCGGGATCCGAACCCAGGCCGCCAGCATCAGAGCGCGCGCACTTAACCGCTAAGCCACGGAGCCGGCCCTACTCAAATCTTTTAAATGTTTGACAATTTGACCACGGTATTTTACCAGTTTAATAATTCTAATTTTATATTCAGGAAGTATATATTTTTTGTCTGCCCACTTTTGAATAACTAGTAAATTAGTAGTGTGTGCTTATATTGGTATCCTTGATGCTGAACTAATGGATTATTTAGAAAATGGTAGTGTTCACATTAGCAGTGTTAGAATCAACAATGGCATCTGTCGGGCCGGCCCCGTGGCTTAGTGGTTAAGTGCGTGCGCTCCGCTGCTGGCGGCCCGGGGTTCGGATCCCGGGCGCGCACTGACACACCGCTTCTCTGGCCATGCTGAGGCCGCGTCCCACATATAGCAACTAGAAGGATGTGCAACTATGACATACTACTATCCACTGGGGCTTTGGGGGGAAAACAAATAAATAAATAAAATTATTAAAAAAAAAAAGGCATCTGTTGCATGCAAATAATTACTTACATCAATCAACTAAATAACAGATTAACTACAAGAGAAAGACTGAAGGTCACCAGAGTATCGTTAGACACTATTTATTGAATACTTTCTACACGTCAGACATTAAACTAGCCACTACTAGGGAACCCAATGACCAGACACATAATGTTAGCAATAGAGATAATATTTATATAAAAGATGGTGGTCATGGAACCCTTCTGTATCCCTCAAGATCAGTGGATGATTTAATCAGGAGTATGTCACCTTTATCAATTCCTTATGTTTGACTTACATTAAATAATGGATACTCATTTTGTCTGGGATTGGGGTAAAGGGGTAGGTCAAAAGACAGATTACTTGAAATAAATATAAACTCTCATTCTCTTTCTCCCTTACCTCCCCAAAGTATATTTACTCTCTTTATATAATTAATTGTAGAGCAAAGAAATAAGCATGCATCAGTTTTATAAAGCTAGTTACAATAATTTTATCCTAAACTTTAATGACATGGCTACCTGCATTTGAAAAAGGCTACAGAGAGTGATGGCCTAAAGGCCTACTGACATGCACCTAATGGTCCTTTCCATCCTAAGCACAGGGGAAGAGTGTTCTTTGATGTATGCCTACTATTTGTGGTCTGTTACTATTTCTGACCCTGACTCTTGGGTTCACTGCCTTTGCTCAGAAAGAGTCACCCAAGAGTTTAAAATTACACTTTTGTAAGACGTTTTAAAGAAGGTACTAATTATACATTCACGGTTTAGTTAAGGCCATTGCTCTTTTTGATATAATCAAGGATATACTACACCTCAGAAGTTATCTATCATAATCTTAACTGTTAACCACTGTACGGATGTCACAATTACATAAGAACCACTTCAATGGCTCAACTAATCTATGGATATATTTAGGCCCTACTCTCACAGGCTTTTAAAAGATCAAATCATAATACAAAATTTAAAATCTGTTAAAGTGACACTGATTGTAAATGCCCCAATGGCTCCTAAACAAGTTAACTAAAACAGCATAATAAATTTGCCTGAGTTTATATACCCTTTAATTATAATGAATAACCTTTAGTAAAATGTTAATCATTTTATTTTTTCTATATTATTCATTTCATCTTTTCTACTGTTAATTATCCTTTCAATTATTACTTTTATGTTATTTGGTTTTATAATAGTACTAACACATTTAAGCGAATATAATATTTTTCTTCAAAAACAAAAAAATTTATGCAGAATACTGTTCACATTTTAACCTTTTTAAAAAAATGGTCCCCAAGTCACATAGAGAATTTAATCAATCAAAATAAATTAGGTCACCAAGTCAAATTCAAACTGGCAAAACACCTGGGCAAAAAAGGATCACAAATCTTCCTGTCTTAGGGATCCAACTAGATTGTTTTATTATTTTATAGAATCGGAAGAACTAAAAAAAACAAACCAGAAAACTAGATCGTAATGAAACAACTAATGAATTTCTGGATGCCTTCTTCTAAGGCATCACATTATTTCATTTGGAACCCTTCACAGGGTCGGCACTTGTTGACCTGAGGTGTTGAATGCACCTTCTCTCTGCTTCCCTGCCCTTGTACTTGTACTTTCGATGGAAAGAGGAGTCCCTTTCCAAACAAGGGGCTTTGTGACAAAGCCAGCAAAGAAAACAAACAGCGCACCTGGCAACTTTCAACCATTCAAGGTGAGGGACAGCACAACTCTCAACTTCCTTGTGCTGTCATAAACGCTTATTTTATGAAAAATACTGTTTTAAAAACGTTTCCCTTTTCAAAGAACTGTCATCTTATAAGATATTCCCTGCCCCTCATCTGGAATTGAACCAGGTGCGGAGAAGGTCCTGTAAGCATCATGCTCACCAGGAGCTCCACCGAGAGGGCAGTGACCGCCACCTGCAAAGCTCTGCAGCTGCCAGGGCCGGACTCCCCACGCAGGAAGCCTCCGGGCACCCTGAGTCCCGCCATGCTGAGAGCAGCCCCTACTTGGGCCCTCAAATCCTGCTCTCGCCTTCCTCCCACGCCCCCGATGCTCTTCTCCTCACCCCACGCCCCCGGCCCTCCCCGCCCCCGCCCCCCAAATCCTCCCCTCCCTTCCTCCCACGCCCCGGTCCTCCTCTCCCTCACACCACCTCCCGGAGTCCCCCGAGGCCGTCTCGCCCGCCGCAATTTTTACTCGCTCTTCTCCCTTACGATAGCCCCCCCTCACGACCCCCGAATTCCCGCCGCCGCGGCTCCGGGCCCCGGCACTCACGAGAAGAAGGGGTCATCCTCAAAACTGCTGCTCAGCATCCCGAACATCCTGGCTCTGTCTCCGGCGGCCGCGGACGCGGACAGACCGCAGACCGATGGCACCCGCCGCGGCCGCGACCGGAGCCGCCTCCCCGCGCCGCCGAGCCTCTCCTCGCTGCGAAGGCGGGGCCCGCCGGGAGAGGCGGAGCGTGCGCCGGGCTGCTTTCCCATTGGACGCTTGCCCACTGACGTCACTAAGACGAGGCGAGGAACAGTGCGCCGCTGCCATGGCAACCGCGATCAACACAGAGGTGGCGAGAGGTTTGGCCTCGCGCCAGCCAAGCACCGCTTCCTGAAGCCTCCCGGGGAACGAGATAGCTTGTTCTCCGGGCGGCAGGAACGCAAAAATTAGAAACCCTCTGTGCGACCTTGGGCAAACCGCTCTCGGCCTCGAACCCCAAGTCTCTTTCGGGAAAGTGGAGATGGGTCAGGATTTGTGCTAGATGGCGTTCAAAGGCCCATTCACCGGCCACGTTTTGTGATCCACAGGGGTCCTACATCCGAACCACTCTGTGGTAGTTGGTCAAAAGCTGTGCACAAATAATGAGAAAATAGTATGCCAAAAGTTTTTGAGTACAGTTAGTAAATAGTTTAAGTGCCTGAAGGAAATGGGTTGAGGCCTATCAGATTTCAACAAACTTAACTTGCCTTCTGTGAGTCCAAAACTCAAAGCGTTTCCCAAAGTGGGAAATACTTAAGTTTTATGTAGACATAGTATTCAAAAATAAGATGAGAAAGTTGGACTCTTTTTGGTCCTCTTTCCGGTCTCTATTTCAAGGGGCAATTCTCACGTTGACCCTGGTGTGTCTGTAACAGTTCTCCATCATCCTTAACCTAACAGAGGGGCCTCTGGCACAAGGCCTGCAACAAGCAGCCATATCCAATCAAAACTCTGTTACTATATACTTTTAATTATATTTATATATGAGCCTTTTGTTTATGGCAAGTGAAACTGGTTTTAAATTTAAAGCAGTGCTATACATTAATAGCTAGTCTTTAAAAATTTAAGTGAAAAAGTGAGCTAATTTAAAAAAATAGAACAGGTGGGATTTGGGCTTGGTGGGGGGAAGGATATCATGACAGTGGTACTCATATTATTGAGTTTTGGAAAACGCTGTCCTGACGCCTTCTAGGAGCCTAGAAAGAGGTGGAGGAGATACAAGAAAAGAGAGGACCATAAAGAAAGAGCAGCATAAGAGTGTAAGAAGAGAGAAGATGCACTTTGCATGTCCACCCTTACTTCAGTGGGCTTCCCAGCCTCTCTGCAGGCTGTCCTGTGGGGATAGAGGGCCAGCCATGGCTTCACAGGGCCTCCTGGGACCGGGCCAGAAAGTGGCACTCTGCCAGTGTGAAGGAGCGTGCAGGACCTGATTTGGAGGTTGCAGGAGCGCTCAGGGGTTATTTTGGGAGCTGGGAATTCAATCCTTTGGACCTTTTACCTCCCCACCTTTAGCCAAGTTCTCTGGCAGCCTCCTTTTCCTGAGACTGGCAGCATGAGGTAGGGCCAACTTCACAGCCCAAGTTAAGATAGCACAGCCCTTCCAAGGAAGAGGATATTTGCTTCTCCCCCGGCCTCAGGGTGAAGTTAGAGTATATACATATTAGGGATTTGCTAAATTAGTTTCAAGGCAAAAAAAAATTGTTTTACAAGATTTGAAATTATTTTCTCTTTAAAATAGTCCAACCCAAGATTTTAAGGAGGCCACTTAAAAAAAAAAAACTTAAATGAAATGGGCTAAGTTATTGGTGACAAATGACAGTATTAAAATCGCTCGGGATTAAGGTCAAATAAAGCAACTTGTGAGGAAACGTTCCCTCTTATTCCCATAGGGATTTTTCTTAGAATCACATTGTTAAAACATGAAAACTTTAGTCTAGGCACAGGTTAGTCAGGGAGTGACCTGGAGCTTCTAAAAGCAACTTGGGCCTAATGGCAAATGCTTAGGAAAAAAAGTTAGTGGGGCTTCGAAAGAGGAGAGTTGAAGTTCACGAGACCTCATCAGTTTGAGATCTGATGGGTCAGAGGTGGGAGGGGAAAGAGGGGGTGGGTCGTGAGAGGCTGCCTCCCGGAGCAGGGGAGGACAGAGACGCAGAGCAGGCCTGAGGGGAGAGTGTCCCGGACTCCACTATGAATGAAATCACACCAGCTAACATTTGTTGACTGTGAACCAGGCACGGTTGCAGGCACTTCATGTGAATTAATTCATTGAATCCTCACGAGATTTTTGTGGCGTAGAGACGGTTTTTATCTCCATTTATAGGTGATGCAACCAAGGCACAGAAAGGCTAAGTGCATTGCCAAGGTTCAGACACTAGTAACTGAACTAGGCTGGAAGCCTGGAGTTTTCCCTGGTGGAGCCATTTGCATCTTTAAATGTGGGTGACGGACTGTACGTAAAGATGCAGGATGGAAGCAGGTAATCATTTCTCAAAATCATGCTGACAAAATAAGTAATGGGCCCAAACTAAAAAGCATAAAATTCTTTGGGAATGTATTCAAATCAATTAATTCAACTTTACAAATATTTATTAAGTGCCTATCCTGTGTCAGGCACTAATCTAGACACTGAGGCATTGGGGAACAAAACAGACATAAATCCCTGCCCTCCTGAAGTTTATATTCTTGTGAGGGCAGAATGAAAATAAGCGACACAGAAAGTAGTACTATGGTAAAAGGCAATAGGTGCTGGGGAAAAAACTGAGCAGGGTAAGGGGGACGGAGGTGTGCCATTATAAATAGGGAGTTCTGTGTCAGCCTCATTGAGAGGTGAATTTGAGCAGACTCACTGGAAGGAGGTGGACATCTATGGGAAGCCCATTCCAGGCCAATGCAAAGATCCTGGGGTAGTGTGTGTCCTGAAACATCTTCAGAGGAATGAGATGAGCCAAGTAAAGTGAAAATTACCTATTAGGATAATGGCTTCCACTTATATTTCCTTGTTCCAGGCATTACATTAAGTGCTTTACATACATTTGCTCATTCAATCCTTACAACAACCCTGTATACTAAGATGTGTATCGCCATACTACGTATGAACAGACTGAGACCCAGAGAAATTTGGTGATGATCCAGTCAATTCAAGTCCAGATTCGTCCTCCTCCAAAGCTTATGTTCTTGCCGCCGCTCTATCTTGCCTCCCTAGAAAAACTTAAAGTGACCATTTACTGAGCACCTCTGTGTAGCAGGCACTTTTACATATATCATTTCTAACCACACTACACTTCTGTTTCATTTGGAGGGTCACTGGCTGCGCTGAGAGAATACAGAGGAAAGCGTGAGACCCAAGCTGACCCTATAACTCTATTCAAAACACAAAGCGTGCAAAATGCCTGTGAGCCCTCCTTTCTTCCACCCGTTAATTCGTCAACTCTTTATTCAGGACCAGTCATATCCCAGGTGCTGCCCTAGGCTTTGGGGATACGAAACTCCCTGGCCTTTTGGAACTTACATTCTAGTGGACGGCTTGCTCAGCAGCCGATTCTGCAATCCACCGTTGTTACAGCGCTCAGAATTTTCAAAACGCTTGTAAAGACGTTATCTCAAGTGCCCAAGAAGAAATAAACAGGCTCTCGAGTTGCTGGGCTTTGAGATTTTGTCATAGCTCTCAGAGCCATGGGGGTTAGGCCATTATAAACACCTCTCTGCAGTTAATTTCAACGTGTCTGCAGTTTCATTGTCCTAATCCTTTAGTTTTAAGCTGTGCACCAAGGTGCTCCAGGAGTGAAACGTCACAGCAAATTCACAGGGGGCACCATGGGACATTTAAAAATTTCGAGGGAAACAGAGAAATGACATCTGTGGGACATTGTGCAACCTACTAGCTTGAGACAGTCCACGTGTTTTGATGTTAGATTGCACTACATTCCTTTAGATGACGTCTTGTTTTTGGAAAGCTGAGTTTTAAGAGTTACTATGATGAAAAGAAAGTACCTTGTGAAAATCGATGTAGAACAGGAAATGCTGGTGGCAGAGTTCACCTGTTTCCCAAGTGTGAGAAGCCGTGCAGCGCCAGATCGTTAGTAAGCGTGTGTGCAGCGCCACACCCGTTAGTAAGTGTGATCACTGAAGAATGATATAACAATTGTTTTTTCTTTTGATTATGTGCTTTACTTTTTAAAAGGCTACTGAGTTTTTAGGACATAAATACTTAAGTTGTTTGGCCCTACTACATACTAAACAGAACTACTTGGTGTTTCTTTAGACCTGGGGGTCCAGTGAAGATGTTACTGAGGCACTTAGGGGTCATGAACTGAGACAGTTTGGGGACCTCTGTCCTAACGCCACAATCTTTCTTTTTTTTTTTTTTCAAATTTAATTGTTTTAAATTTAAAATGTATCATGGATCCATTTTCTCGAAAAGGTATGATTCATTGTCTTTTTAGTGTTTATCTTCTTTTCAGCTAGCTGTCTTACCAGTCCTTTACCAGGTTTGTATCATGCCCTTATGAAAGATGGGGAAATGGTGGATCGCAATTGAGTGACTTATCTAATAAGAGCACAGGTCCCAAGGTCTGCAAACCCCCTGTAAGGGCTGCCTTTAGTCCATATGGCACCTTTGTTCAAATCAGGAACAGATATCTCTCTCAAGATACTTTCATAATGGAAAATTTTTTTTAATAAATATACAAATCTACAATGTGTATGATGTGACTGGTGCCCTCTTAGGTGTTGCACACCTGTCCCTGGGGCCCTCCTCCCAAGCCTGGATTCCTTCCACTAGACAGGAGTTGCTGAGTAGCAAGCTCCACCCACAAACTCACGTGCAAGAAATGTAATTTTATTTTTCTGCAACTGAACTTAATTTATATTCTGGGCTCCTATGCCATTGGGAGTGACCCCTCCTCCTCTCCCAGGGAGACAATGCCCACACAAAGTTGTAGGTGGTTGCCAGCCACGCTGCATGCTTGAAGGCATCTTTACTCCCCTCCCTGGGTGGAGCCAAGGATGCTCGCCTCTCACAATGTGTGGCACGGTCTGGCACAATGAAGAATTGTCTTGCCCTAAATGCCAACAGCATCCCTCTCCCTTGAGAAACACAGTCTCTAGAGTAAGTTTTCCTCCAATGAAGTAAAAATTCAAAGCAAATTTGAGTTCACAGAGGGAATTTTC